GTTTCTCAAATCCTTTTGATGGCAACTCACAGAATGTGATAACATTTACACCTGTACCCAGTCAACACCTCCCCCCCCATGCACACACACACCACAACAGAGGACCATTGGCTGAAGCAGCACTTTACCACTTGTGATATAGTCACACATGCATCAAGAAGCACGCACACATGATGCACATGCACACACACACACACACACGCACATGCACATGCACCAGATGCAACCCTCCGAACTGATTTCATCATCCACTAATGGACCAGGGCTACAGCTTAAATTATCTGTCAGTCCTGCTCTTATAGGGGCGCCTGGGTGGCTCAGTCGGTTGGGCAGCTGACTTTGGCTTAGGTGGTGATCTCACCATCGTGAGTTCGAGCCCCGCATCAGTCTGCCGGCTATCAGCACAGAGCCTGCTTCAGATCCTCTGTCTCCCTCTGTATCTGCCCCTCCCCTGCTCACTTGCTCTCTCTCTCGCTCTCAAACATAAACATAAACAAACAAACAAAAAAACTCACCTGCTCTTATAAAATGGGAAAGCTGAGGTCAAGAAGGGGAAGGGGTCTGCCCGAGACCACCCAAGACTCATCCGAAGTCAGAACTAGAACCCAGTGTCTGGTTCCCGATTCTTCTCGTTACCCCAAATTACATTCAGATTAATACAACGTTAACCCCACTGAGTGTGGAGGAGGTATTTGGACAGTTTGAGGTTCAAAATCCCAACAGCTAGACAGGGTCTAATCCTGTGCTTCTCAGAGCATGCGGGACACATGCAAAGCACAAAGTGCCTCTGGGTCACGGCTGTGGCTGTTGGCTCTCACTGAGCCCGTGGGAATCTCCGTGGCCAGCCTCCCCCAAAACCAGGTTTCTGTATTGCGTTCCTAGCTCCAACTTCTCACTGGGGTTCCTGAGAAGATGCAGACGTGAGCCCTGCCTTCTGGGTGTCTCTGGGTGCAGGGGGTCTGACCCAGTCGGTGGACGTCTACTGAGCATCCCCTCTGTGCCAGACCCCGTGTGCCAAGCAAGGTATGGGGTGCTGGCCACAGTGAGGCACAGACCCTGCCCCCGGTGAGGTCAGGCCCCGGATCTGCACGTCCTAGGCTCCAATCCCCACTCTGCCTCTCTCTGGTTGTGTGGCCCAGGTTACACACTCAGCCTCAGGTTACCCACCCATTAAGCGGGATAATTACATCTGCCCATCAGGTTGTTGGGAGGATGAAGTGACATAACCCATATGAAAGTCCCCGGCACATGGCAGGCAATCAGCAAGGGGTAGCTTTTACGATTATTAGTACCGATAAGAGAAAAAAAGCAACTCACAGGTAAGGAGAGGGAGGCCACAGCCCAGAAGGGAAGAAACAGCTAGAATGGAGGCAGAGTGAAACACACAGGGTGAAATGGGAGGAGTGGAGCGTTGGGGAAGAAGAGAATGATTGGGAGATCAAAATGGAAGGGCCGTGCAGCCAGCAGTGGAAAGACCTTAAACGTCAGGCTGAAAAGGCAACGGGGAGCCACTGAAGGCCTTAGAGGAACAGAGTGGTGCAAGAAAAGATGATTGGGGAGCCCTGACTGATAGCAGCAAACCTCCGTGGGGGCTTTACTTATGCCATAGTCGTGGGCTTTCTGAATTCAGCGGGAAAGGGGATTCTGTCACCATCCTGAAAGACCTCCAAGAGGTGGCAGGATTTCTGAGGCTCCCAAGGAAGGCTTTTGCCACCTGAGTGGGACGCACCAGAGGCGAGCACTCCAGTCACCTTCCCCAGCCGGCACGGGTCCCGGGAGCAAGTCCAGAAGCAGGTGTGCAAGCGGGGTCAGGAGTTGACCTGCGTCTGAGCAAGCTCTCGACACACAGGACAGGCTGGGACCTCATTTCAGGAGCAACCGCAGGAAGTCCACACCCACTGCTAGGGCGCTGAGTTCTCTCCCCTGGCCCCCTGAGGACACCGCCCCAGCGTGGAGGAACAGCCTGTCCCCTCGCTCAGCACAAGCCCAGACCGGGGAGGCATCAGGGACTGAGTGACCAGGGGGTGAGCCACACCTGTCCAGGCTGTGCCACCAGAGAGGTCAAAATGCCCCCACCACTGTACCGCCTGCCCAGGTCCTCAGTTCTCTCTGTCTCCACCCTGGTCCGTGAACACCTTAAGGGCAGGGACCGCGTCTCATTCATTCACCTGTTCATCCAGTGGTTCATTCATTCAACAGACACTTGCGAAGCACCTGCTATGTGCCAAGCATGTTGTTAGGCACCAGGAAGCCTGCTGTATCCACCAGGGCTTGGTCGGAGCCTCGGAACTGCTAGGAGGCACCAACAGATAAAATAAAGGACTTTTCACAGGGGGTTGACTCCCATGATCGGGAGAGCCAGTAAAACAGTCTGCAAAAGGCGGTTTCTTTTTCTGCTGGTGCCGCCGCCTGAAGTTCTGCAGCCCAAGTGACAGGGCAAACTGGACCAGCAAGGATGAACCCATGAGGACAGCCCAGAACACCCTTCGCCATCTCGCCACCTCCAAGGACAGAAGCTGAAGCTGGTGACCCGGCAGGGCCGGGAGTTGCTGCCACCCCAGAGTCTCCCGACCCCGACGCGGTGAGCCAACAGATAGGGGACAACACGTGTCAGCCATGACAGCATCTCACGCTCCGATTCCGACTCTGCTCAGAAAAACCCTACCACCTCTATGTCACGGCTGCCTCCACATCTCACGCAGAACGTCCCCGGGGACCCGCACGAACCCGGAATTCTGTGAGGATGGCATTTCTGGGCAACGTAGGTTCAGCAAAGCTAAGGGACACGGTACAGTTCTAGGACGGTCCACCCCTCAGGGGACCATGGCAACTTTGAGAGATGACCTCCTTGAAGGTTTGCTTGTCATGCAAGAGATAGTCAACTAAGAGTCAGAGCCTCCTCCTAGGTTTCAGCGACCCCTGGATTTCATCTTTTCCCCAGAGCTGCCCACGTAGTGAGAGTGGGTCCAGGGCCACCACGATGGAGGACCTCATGGGGTCCCCCTCTACAGAGGATGAAGCCAGAGCCCCAACCAGACCAACAAGTCAGGGATGGCCTCTGTTATTCAAGGCCCTCGTGGGGCGCCTGGGTCGTTCCGTCGGTTGAGTGTCCGACTTCGGCTCACGTCGTGATCTCACAGCTCATGGGTTTGAGCCCCGCATGGGGCTCTGTGCTGACAGCTCAGAGCCTGGAGCCTGCTTTGGATTCTGTGTCTCCCTCTCTGCCCCTCCCTTACTCGATCTCTCTCTCTCTCTCTCTCTCTCTCAAAAATAAGCAAACATTAAAAAAAACTTAAAAACAAACAAACAAAAAAAGAATGTGGAATCCAGAAGATCCTCCCAAGAACACCCAATGTGGATGAGTCCTTGAATTGCCCCAGATTCCGTTTTCTCTCTCTCTGGGCTGGAGCTGAAGACAACAGGATAGTGATCAGAGCCCAGGGTTTAGAACCAGGATCTGAGGTCTAACTCTAAGTTCTGCTGTTGATGTGCTGTGTGACTTTGGGAAAGTCTCCTAACCTCTCTGGACCTCCATTTCCTGGTAGATAAATAAAAGTCCCCCCCTCCCCCTGAGAGGCCCTTCCAGCTCAAGCCCATCTCAGCCCATGGTGCTGCTTTCATAACCTCACAGCCGCCCTTGTCCACAAATGCCTGCCTTGCCTGTCTGAAGTCGGTGCTCTGAGCAAGGATGCCCAGTGATAACAGTCTGAGCACAGCCCGTCTTGCACACCTTAGTGGCAAGACAAGTCCTTCCTGTCACCTGACCCTGATGGGAGACGGGAGAAGCCAGGGCTGGGGTCCCTTCTCTGTCATCCAGGATACCGCAGTTGGAGAGAAACGGCATTAAAGCGAAGTTCCAAATATCCTACACACCCATTTAAAATTGGATTTGGGAAACGGTTTCGATCAAAAAAGTCTGATGAGCAAATTGGTCATTTGAGCCCCATTCTGTATAATGCTGTCAACTACAGACCCGGGTCCGTGTCAAACGTCTCTAAGACACTGGGACATTCAGAGGCATCTCATAAAATTAAATTTTGTCTTGAAAATGTTCAGCACTGGAGCTTTTAAAATACAGATCCCATTTATCATGCGGTTATTTTGGGGTTTGTCTGCATAAGGAAGCCAAAAGTCCTTTCTTGGAAAGGACTGTCCTTTGCTTTGGAATGTGTCCTGTCTTCCTGCAGTCTCGGTATCAGAATGCCCTTTCTTTTATGAACTGATAGATGAGGTGGGTTTTTTAGAATCCTCACTTGGTAAAAATAAACCCTTCCGCTGAACTCTATTTTTTTAAATGTCCTGCTCTGTGAAATCCCAGAACCTCCGCATTCCCGCTGAGGCTCAAAGTGGCCTCGGGATTCCCACTTTACGTCGCAAGAAACGTGATAGTTGTTTTTGTTGTTGTTGTTGTTTTGTTTTTTTAAGAGAAGCTAGAAATCAGAGAGGTTCAGTAACAAGCCTGAGACCACACAGCTGGAGAAGCCAATGCTGGGATTTGCATGTGGCCCTCTCTGGCCTGGCATGATCGCCAGTTATCTTTTCCCCACCTCCTCAAGGAAAACAGACACCCAGTGCTTGGCCAGGGAGGAACCCCAAGGTTTAACGAGATGAACCCCAAAGAAGGCTTGGATCTTATCCCAGAAAACCTTCTGTTCCTGAGAGTCTGTGGTGAACTTTGAGTTGAGTGTCCCAGCGGCAGAGAGTTTCCAGGGCAGAGGAAAATGCCCATGTGGTTTAATTTGTCTTAAGAATAAATTTTATTTAGGGGTGCTTGGGTGGCTCAGTTGGTTAAGCATCCGACTTTGGCTTAGGTCATGATCTTGTGGTTTGTGAGTTCGAGCCCCGCGTTGGGCTTTGTGCTGAGAGCTCGGAGCCTGGATCCTTCTTTGGATTCTGTGTCTCCCTCTTTTTCTCTCTCTCCCCCTCTCCCGCTCCTTCTCTCTCTCTCTCTCTCCTGATCCCCCCCCCCAAATAAACAAACATTAAAAAATCTTTGTAAAGAATAATGTTTTCAAACATCTCTATGGCAGAATTAGGGGGTCAATTTTGCTTCTACCTTGAGTAAAAATTCTCTAGAGGGTGGTAGTGATAGTCCGACTACAGAAACTGCAAAGTAAATGTATCTTCCTGAAGAAGGGGCGCTGTCTTCAGGGCAAGCGGGAAGACAGCCGGCCTGGAGCTTTGGGCGAGCCCACCTCACAAGTGGACCTTGCGGGGTCCTGGGACCAGAGTCATTCTCCTGGGACTCTCTGGAGCGTGGAGTGTGGCCGTGGGGCTCCGCCAAGCCCCGTGGACCATGGAGAGAGAAGGAGGTCCAGGACTGCGAGCCTCTCTCGGGAACCCAGGGGAGTCGGTGAGCTCCGTGTGGGAGGAGAGGGGAGCAAGGAGCTCACTGAGGGCCACTAGAAGCAGAGGATGTTGGGAAAGTATCGGTAACGAGGATTATAGCTCCTCAGATTCCTCTTCAGGCAGTAGACGAGCTTCCGGTCACAGGCACAGAGCTGCACTTGGCAGAGGGGCCCGAGCTCTGCAAACAGGACGCCAGACGCAGAATGAGGAAGGGAAGATGTGGGCCCTACCTACACTGCCTCCTGGGCTTGCTTCTAGCGTGAGCTGCCCCCCCAGTCTGCTTCCTGCCCCAGCAAGCTCTCAGTCTGATGAGGGAGGCACAGCGTCTACACTGGGGAACGTGTGATCTGATGGAAGAGGCATAGCCGATGCATAGGGTGAGGTTTCAGCCCAGGGAGACACAGCCCCTGCCCTCTGGGAGCTCCTAGTCTGACGGTAGAGACACGGTCTCTCCCCTTAAGAGTTCCCACTCTGACGGTGGAGGCAGCCCCTGCTCTGGAGGAGACACCACCCTCAGACTTAGCTTTGAACTCAGATGGACCTGAGCTTGAATCCCAACTCCAGCTGTGTGCCCTGGCAAGCCTTCGAGTTTCAGTTTCCTCGCGTGTAAAAGGGGACTGAACGCACTCCAAAAGGCATTTGGGGGTGCAAGAAAAAGGAAGCATGCAAAGCATTCGGCACCTAGTGAATGCTCAGTCTGCAATGTTTCAGCCCTTACCCAGAGGTCCTCACTGCAGCAATCCTGCCCCTCTTGTCCCCAGCTCCGCCCTCCAAGCTACAGGCTGGCTGGCCTCTAGGGGCAGCTGAACGCAGAGCCAGAAAAGACCCAGGCTCTGTCAGTGGCCTGAAGGGGAAGCCCCAGCCTTACCGCAGGTGACCAGTCCCCGTGCAAATCTGTATTTGTATGACTGTGTCCGGATGTGGCAGCCTTTCTCCTCCAGCCGCCCGTAGCAGTGATCATGCACCCAGCAGCACCTGTCAATGCAAGGGACCTAGAACCTGAGCGGACGGAGCACAGCACTGCTGGGTGGGTGTGGTCTGGCAAAGAAAGAATCTAGGGATGAGGCCGAGTACTTCTCTGCTCTTCCTCTGGGGCTGCCTGCCACCGGCTAGCGGTTCACTGGCCCGCTTTTTCCTCCAAGGCTCACGGTGAGACTACATCTCCCAGCCTCCCCTGCAAGTAGGCGTGGCCACACAGTTAGATTCCGGCCAGGGGATCGCGGGCAGAAGCCATGGACACCACTTCCCGGCCTACCCGTGAAACTCTCCCACACTGTCCTCCTCTTTCTCTCTCTCTTTCCCACCTCTCAGCTGGATGGAGATGACCCCGCAGAGGACTCTGAGGCCACAGGGGAAGGCAGAGCCACAAGATGGAAGGAACCGGGGTCCCAGAAGTAACATGTGATTCACATGGAACTGTTCCATGAGCAAACAATAAACTTCCGGTGTGTTGGGTGTGGCAGATTGCAGTTTTTTAAAATTGACTTACGGAAAAATAGAGAAGGTCGTGCAGAGTGTTCCCTTTTGCCCCACATCCAACGTCCCCTATCATTAACATCTTATATTATTAGTACAATACACTTGTTACGGTTAACAAACCAGTATGGACGTCGTTGACTAAAAGGCTAATTCGCTAAATCATAATACATCCTTATTGAGTCATTAATTGTAAAAACTCCATCGTTTATTTAGATTTCCTTACTTTTTACCTAATTTACCTAACGTCCTATTTCCATTCCTACCGATTTACCTAATGCCCACATTACATTTCATTGTCATGTGTCCTTAGGCTCCTCTTGCTTTTGGCGACCTTGACAGTTTTGAGGCATACTGGGCAGGTGTTTTGTAGGATGCCCCTGTATGGGATTTGTCTGATGTTCTTATGATAAGACTGGGGCTATGGTCTAATTAGTCCAGCTTTGGCCGTTGGGAGCCCTTTCAGTCAGCTCCTGTGCTCCCTGACATATATCCCTAGCATTGTGGGAGGTAGCTCTCTTTAAATACTTCCTTAACTTTCGCCCTTACATGAGACTCCAGGCTCATCCTGTATATTTCCTGCCCTTGTCTTACAATCAGCCATGTCTCCAAGGAGTCTTGCTGGTTTTTTTTTAATTTTTTTTTTTT